ACCCTGCCACTATGGCTGGCGTACGGTGGGTTGAAGTGCCATTGGATAGTTTGGAAGGTCAGTCGCTTATGTAGTTTTCTCTGGTCGACTCGAAACAGCCACATTTGCAGCTCGTTGGACGTGCACAGAAAGTTTCGTTGTCGGAGTAAATGTTGTTCGGGACTCCGCGTCTGTCGATCAGCTTTTGGAGCGCCATCAGGAACGATTCACTAGACACCGTATACCATCTCTAAGTGCACCGCGCGAGACTGCATGCAGGTAAACGGACACCCTTACCGCTTTGCCACCGATCTCCCGTACTTTAACAGCAAGGGGCCGAAATAATCCACTCCCGTCTCCGCGAACCGCCCCCCCCCGTTCGAACCCTGAACTCAGGTAGGATTTCCGTCAGCTGCATTCCGGTTACCGCATTTTGACGGCGGCAGAACATACATCTACCGATGATCCGGTTTATTGCGGTTCTCCGCGTGATATCTAAAATCTCTTCCGAATGGCGTTCAATAGGTGGTTAGTTCCCACGTGCCCACTTTTTACGTGAAGGTGGCGTATACGAAAGGTGGTGACAGGGCTGGCGGCCGGAAGAATGATCGGATGTCTAGCGTCAAATGCCAAGGAAGAATTGTCCAGTCTCCCTCTCACGTGTAGCAACCCTTCGACCATTATAGGGTTCAGCTTACGCAACGCGCTCTGTTGGATTGCAGTCCGTTTGGGGCTCTTCCTTGCATTCGCTTGCAACGTCATTGTTTCGAGGGGAAAATGATGCAGTTGTACTAATCCCACGACGTTTTGTTCCGCTCTCATTAGGTCACCCGTCGATAAAGGTCCCACACGCAGCGACTCATCAGGTCGAAATCCGGTCATGATCATCACCATTTCCTTATTCACCAAGCGACGGAACGAATCATTCTGCCCCAGAATGAGAAGCTTTCCAGTTTCCTTATCAGGGGGGAAATGACGTCGCGTTCCGCCATCATGGTCGCCCATTTGGCTTCTATGAACTCAACGCGCACAAGGGGGGCAAGCACTATACTCTAGTCCTTTGACGCGGCGGTCAGGAATGTCAGGCCGCTGAGCCAATCGCGTAGCTTGTCCAATGGCAACGGTTTACGGTTTGTCGCATGTGACGGTCCAAACACTGTGCGCCCGAAAATGGCGCGAGCAGCATATGGTTCTTTGCCGTCGCCCAGTCTCTGGTCCAGGACCCAGGGTGCTTCCGACACATCACATCCTGTTAGAAAATCGACTTCGGGAGAGTCGGCTTCTTCGAAATACAAGTCTCGCAGGTGCGGCCGAAGCGTTGCTAATTCCCCGATTGATTCCACTACTCGCATCGGCAATTCGGCGATGGTGAAAGCTTTCGTCACCTCTACTCGTTCATCATTATCTATCTATCACGTTTGCTTGATTGGCGGAAGTCTCCTTGGTACCGTTCACCGTGCTGATCGTCAGGGAAGATGGTTGGGTTGTAATATTGTATTTCACGGCGAAGCACTTGGTGATGAACATGGTGTCGCATCCATTGTCAATGAACGCCATCGCCTTCACCACCCCACTGGGTGTTAATATGCCCACTGGTGTTATCCCGAGACGTACCTGCTTGTCCGCCGATTGAGATAGTAGACATACCATGGGTCTTCGGGGTGCCGGTGACTGCGTTTCTCTTATAGAATGCAAGAGAGTATGGTGGCTTCCTTGACACCCCTTTTCACTGCATCTGCCGCAATTACTACAAGCGACCGCATGGTTTGAGCCGTTCAAACAGATAAAACACGCACCATACCTCTTGGTTGCTTCACAATGGTCCGAAACTTCTAGTTGCACGAATTTGTCACACGCGGATAACTCGTGATTCAAACGACACAGAGGGCAACTGGGTGTGCCACGTTCCCCTACTGTTGCATAGTTATTTGCGTTTCTAGAACTTATCGGGATCTCGTAAATTCGTTCTTTGGCGTGGTGTCTCTCTTCTCGCCTACTCATGCTGGCCAGTTGTTCGAAGCGACTGCTGACGACCTTGGCACGATTTCGGATGAATTCCGTTAGCTCGGTGAAATTCGGTTCCCTCCCTAAACGGCCAATAAACACCGCCTCCTCCGCCCATCGCTGCTGTATGTCAGCCGGCAGGCATCGTACTATTGCTCCTAGGGTGTGTAGTGCGTTCAAATCAGCTTCGTAGCTCATTTGAGTCAGGGCAATGAAACGGTTTTGCATCTTCATTACTAGTCTCACCAATGATTCGGGTTTGTTTCTCGCTGTACGGGCCTCGGCTAGCACCCCCTCTATGAGCGTCCGTGCCACGTGAAACGTTTGGCCAAACAGTTCCTTCAGGATGTCTTTTATTCGGCTACACCCAATTTCGTTTGGCAGTATTACACATTCTTCGATAGCGTCTCGGGCCTTCCCTCACCAATAATGCTTTAGGTACAGGAACTTCTGCTCTGGATCGGCGACCCGACACTCGGCGAAATTATCAAATTCTCTAATAAATCTCCAATAGTTGCTGGGGTTCCCGTCAAATGGCGTTAGCTCCACCTTGGGCAGGTCTATCGATGCGTGGCGGTACATTACTGCAATCGGTGGTTGAGCCACTTCCGGCGTCAGTCCAATGGGCAGGGTTTGTTTTTCCGTTGCGGTGTGCCTAGCCGAGCAGGGTTGCCTAGCCCGTAATTTCCTGAGTTTCATTGACCTAGTCTCCTGCTCTAACTCTACAAGCTTGCGGAGATATATATCAGACCTCTTAACATCGGCATCACAATCTAGGGTACATGAGCTTCTAGCACTAACAGGACTAAGTGAATTATAAATGTGAGAATCAGAAACCCCCTAAATTCCCCAGTGACTTGTTGGGTTACGTTTTGTCCTTTCTCCGCGATCCCTCCTTGTACGAACAATATTCTCTTGTTCCAAATTGTGCAAATTTGAGTACTGTGCCTCCCGCATAGATCAACGAGTAACGCGTAGCCAAAATCGAATCCCAAAACTTCAACAAAACGAACGATCCAGCAAGTTTCTACGGTACTGCATTATCAAACGATCAAATAAGCAAATAAAAACTGTACAAACCTCAGAGTGATCTCGAAACAACTTGAAAACAAGAGCCAAGTGTTACTGTGAGCGTAATGCAACAAATCTGAACGGAAGAAATGGGTCTGGACACGAACAGCACGCTCACCTTCACGCTGCACACGAACGAGCCAAATGCGAGCGGTCAGGTTGCGATTATAACAAGTAGGGTGCGAATGAAGCAGATAAATAAATAAAGTCAAATGGTAGGATCGATGTGTAAATATATAAAGGGTGTGGAACGTCAAGTGTGTATGTATGTATGAGGCGGATGGTGTTAGGCGAATGGAACGTAAAGTTCACGAAATTTGGAACCGAGATAGATTGACTGGGCTTTACCGAAAGGATTTTGAGTAGTCGATCAATATATATTATTTAGAATATGTTCGATTTTGTCTTGCCGTAAACCTGAGGTTTTCATTATTCTGTACGAGGTTATCTTAAGGCCTCACCTAGGGTTTTTTGTCCGGGCATGCTCTGCTTTCTTCAAAAATGAAGCCGGCTGTTTAGCGCGCGTCAGATCAGGTCATGTCGGTTCACAGGACTGCAGGCTTTTGCCAACGAGGATCCAGATTCCTACGCAATCGAGCTCCGATATTCGCAATGCGCTTTGACGGATGTTGAGCTTTTGTTTCCCATAGGTTTACTTCTCAGCTTGATCCAGGAAACGCCGGGTAGGTGTCTGAAAATGACTGGTGTAAACTAGAAAATGAAAACAGTCTAGACGGAATCTAGCTGCGAGGGGAAGAGTTGGACAAACACTTTATTGTATCAAGTGAAAAACAATCGACACCCATGCTGATCCTTACATGGGGGTACGTAAGAGGGCTGCCAGTAATTTCAGGTTCCATGGAGCGTCATAATTACTGCATATTACTGAGGTTGTTCCTTTATTTCACGTTCGATCTTAGGTACACAGGGACATTTAGCAAACGTACGTTGAATGGAATAGTGGGAAATGAACCTGTGTAGGGTATTTATTTATTTTATTCTTATGCATACATACTACCATATTATCCTACCTATTATTAGGTTATACTCCAATGCGTACATAAATTATACCCCCACGTGAATACATACAATCATACACTTATCCATACCATCGCCTGCACAGAAGCACATGCGCATGTGCATGCATTGTTAATGCTGGTAAAAATCCATACTGTCCCAGAAGAAGAACTAGAGAGGGGAGTGTCTCCACTATGTGGCATCGATTGCTGACCGATCGTTTAGGAGGATCACTAGTCTCGTTCGTGTGGGTCTTTTTTGTGGTATCACCCATTCTACTATGCACCATGCTTGAACATTACCTCGGATTCAAGTTCTCACATAATATT